GTTTATGCTAACAGCACTTAGAAGTCTATATGAACTCATCTGTAAATTAGACTGTATACAACAAACAAGCATTCCAAAATCAAAATTATATACTATATAGTCGTAGATTAAACGAACTTCCAAAGAATAAATAAGTGTATTGTAAAATAAACTGAACAGTAAAGAATAAGTATACATATGTGAAAACAGCAGTTCATGTCTTCTAATGATGAAATGACTAAAGATCCCGATTTTTTCTATAATTCGTTTATACTGAAAGAGATCCTTAGAAAGTCTTTGTTCATGCTTTTAAATACATTATGTTTCGAAAACCCATTCACTGATCTGTTCATGTCAATAATTTTTAGTAGATGAAATTTTCTCTATCAATACTTATAAAACTGATGCCAATATGTTATAAACATGTATTAATGTAGAGCTGAACAATATCGTCTTGAGTGAAGAAAAAAGTAAATATTTCTTTGAAAACTGAAGATATTACTTGCCGACAAGTGTTAACCAGCGTGTAGCTTCAAAGTTAAGTTTATTACTGAATTTCTTGGAATATTGAACATCACTAATCAACAATCAAACAATGCATACTAGTGACTGTAAACAAATTATTGTACAAAACTGTGAACAATACCCAAAATATACGAATTAATTAATGATTGTACCCTGTTTCTCACAACTAAAATAAGTTGAAATTTACAAACGACATAGTAGTTGGAAGTTGAATGAATTATTTACTAAACTGTACTTTTCAACAGTAAAAGAATACCTGTTACAATGTTGCTCATTAATTTTGCTACCTGACTTTAAACCCTCTTCATCTACCGAGATTTTAACGAATCAGTGGCAGCATCACTGGCTGTAGTGCAATAACGATTACTTAATGCCTAGTAAAGCAGCTTACATGTGCTCACTGTATTGTATCTCTTAATGTTCATTGTCATAAATACTTGGTCTTATTACACACTTGAAAGTATCTATCAGTCAAAATGTATGTGTATTCTTTGGAGTAATCAAGGACACCAATAGGCGAATAGTAACTAAACTTTAACACACAGTATACAATATCATCTTCAGAGTGATAACTGTTAATTGAAGTAAGTGGTTTATCACCTCCTTTCTCACTTTTTACGGATGTATTTCTCTCTTTTTCTTAAACTGTTTATGATCAACAAACTTTTTTCAGGATAGACCCTATGACACTCCTCTGCCTGCTTGTCCAGAAAAACTGTTGCAGTTAGGAAAATAAAGGAGTTTTATCTCATGATAACTAAAGAAGGAAAAAACAATTACGCATCGATTAGGCTTCCGGTACACACTGCCTGTCTGTGTATCTTTTTCTTCAGTGTTCTTTGATATACGGGAAGTATTCAAAGAGTTGTATGCTTAGTAACTAGTAATATTTTTAGATAAAATCTCATTTTATTGGTGGAATGACTGATATAATAAGTCTGCTATAGTTAAATTTCGAAACATTCAATTAATTTAGTTCCCTCTAATCATTGCGGTTCTCAATAAACTGTTAGTTATGGTGATTCGGTTGTCACCTGGTATAAATGATGAAAATAAACGCACTTTGAGGTTGACTTTCAGTTTATGCGGTCGGTATAGATGGAGCATATCATTCTCAGTTTAGTTATACTGTCTAATAGTGGCTATCCCCACAGAAACTGTGTACTCAGTTTTTTATCCTTTGTTTTACATCAGTGGTATGCACCGAAGACGATCGGTTAACCGTCCTGTCCTGTTGAGAAACTATCAAGCAACTTCATTGATACTTGTAATTCTCCATTATTATACTGGGTTCGAGTGATCAACCTTTGTTGGTATATGGACTCCTAAGTGGACCCTTCGATATGATGGTGATTAGCAGTGGAATCAAGCAGCCAATATGCCAACAGAAGTAGATCAGTTCCATCCAGAATAATAACGGGAAATTACAAGTATCAGCAGATAATAACTGATATTCATTCGACAAAACTTGGTCCTAGACCCTCAGTGGCATAGTGCGTAACGCATTGGTGTATGAAGCAATGGAGGCGTGATTTGAGTCCCAGTGAGAACACCACCACTCACTGAGGCGTTTTTACTTTCAACTGATGAGTCCCAACTAGGCAGAAATTTCTGTCCTGGGTTACACACTAGCCACGAAGAAGTAGGTTGTGAAGCTGTTTGTTTCGAGCACTTCTCACCAATGAACTTTTTTAACATTGAAACTGTTCTCCAAAAGACTATTATTTACTCAAATCAAGATATATTTTTATTGAGTTTTCAAAACAGTACAATTCATTGGTAGTGATGGATAGAAGGAAAAAAGTTAGACTGATTTTATCGTTCGACAGCAGCACCGTGTCTCAATCAGGTCGTAATCACCCATCAGACTTATAATAGAAGCCTATTTGCCACTGTTCTACACTAATCTAAGGGTAACTTCTGACCATTCGTTTACGTTAACAGGTCCTGCTAAAATGGTTGCGGCTGAATGGGTTATCATAGAAAGTGAACAGCATCAACACAGGTTCTGTAGTAAAACTGTACGATCACTCAATTGTTTTTTAAAGGACTACTATAGATAACTCTTATTGTAGCTATGTTTGTGCCAGCCGTTCTAGCACGTGTCTGTATAAAGCCAGAGATCAGCATTGTCATTTTAGAATATTCATCCTGGGCGATGATTGAAGGTGAAATGAAGATCTGGGCAGCGACCGGATTCAAGCCAGAGACCACCGAGTTTCCGGCCCGATGCTCTACCAACTGAGCTACGAGGTCTGACTGCCTGGTAGGGCACCTGGCCAGAAATCCGGTGGTCGCTGGTTTGAATCCGGCCGCGGTCCAAATTTTCATTTCACCTTCAATCATCACCCAGTATCAATACAAGTCTGCCAAACCACGGCTATCTCAGATAGTCAAAATGATAACCTTAGAATATATTATAATTCAGATGAAATCTTCAACATGTTCATGTGTTTATAGCTGCTTTGGAACAATATTTTTTTAACTTTACTTATCGTGTGACTGGAAAGAATGTATAATCAATGCCAACAAGCATAAAAACTAGATCCAGCAGAGCTTCCTGTCAAAAGACTGCCGAAATCTAACACCATGCCCAGTAGCAAAATTACAAAAATTTGATAGGTAAACTTCTATCAGTACTCAGCACTAAGAATTAGATAGCTACCTCAGTTCTATACTGCTGATCGATTCATTTAAATAACAACTTTGTTGCACACTCCTGGTCCGTTTGAAGATACCTCAGGGAACTGTTATTTTTATACTCTTAGATGACAGAGTAATCTTTGTAATTGGTTATTCCTACCTCTACTTCTCTTTTCTTCATTGTTTGTGTTTTGCGTGGAAAAACTTAGTAAGCAGGACAATTAGTGTCAATAAACAAAGAAACAGCATGTTAACATTCCTAAAAGTATTTTAAGCATCAACATCTGTATATCATGAGGCAGTGGGTTTAACTAGAGCATCTTAGTGTTTAATGGATTCCAAAATAGTTTGAATGAAAGAATAGCTCACATGCTGTCAACAACATCCTTCTTCCACGCTTTTCATGATTATTTCTTTCCCATCGGTTGTATGACTCATTTAGTGTAAACCTATATTGTACTCAGATTACTATAACCAGTTGATTTTAAAACTGGAACTATTATTGTCAAACTAAAATTATGCATTTATGACGCGTTTGTCTAGATGGAATTGAGTGTTACTTTGAAGTTAACACTGTAGAAGTTATTTCCGATGCCACCTAGATATTCTAGGAATTTCTAACTTCACTGACAATTAAACAGGAGTAGGAAAAAGGAAAAGAAAGAATCGATGACAGTTATAGTGTTTTGTTATGTTTGTGATATCCTCAGTAGTAGTGTTAACTCATACGACTTATTTATGCCTCATCTCAATACGATATATGTGTATGTATAAACCTGTAAAGAGTAGTTATAAAATTTATCTAAATTTTAGCATTTATATAAAAAACAATTCCAATTATCGGAATGATTCGCCTAAGGATATCTTAAAAAGTGAACAAATACTATAGGCAGAGATAATTGACTCTCTTCCATCTTATGTTCGCCTGTCGTTTGTATGAATGATGAGAAGTTATGTTTATTGTATATTTATCCAGAATTTAGGTGTCTAAAGAGATTAGATTACTTTACTCAGATCATATTTATCAAAATTCTGAAGACAATAATTATTTTAAATCAATGTTGAACAAGCGTGTAAGAAAAAGTATCGAACTGTGAGCAGTTTCCTTTATTTCAAAGAAAGTGAAACATGACGTTTTACATGGTACAATCTATCTTAGTCTGTGTCATGCTTGATCTAAGAAATTTTAAACATCCTGACTGATTAAGGCTATCTGGAGATATTTTTAAGCGAGAGCCTTTGACCATACTAAGGTGTTATCCTTACAGGGCAGCTGATAACTCACCATCATCACTAAGATCAACATACGACCAGATATTACTGCTTAATGGTCCAGGCTACCACACCTCATATCAATATATAAAGTAACAAGCTAATAAGATGCAAGATGAAGAAGGAAGGAAACACTTGTCGAAAGAAGTAGAAATTAGTAAGACAGAGGAAGGAAGAATGAGAAGATGATGAGATTAAGTTTAGTGGTTAAGATCAGGACAATGTGTATATGCATATGTACCTCTGACACCGATTCTGAGCCATATCACCTACAGTCTCCAACTACTGGCTTCTTTAGTCCCACCGACACCAACCGAATAGTTTGCATCGTTCCATATGGCTCAAATCAACAGTCAAGAACTTCATGCATTGATGTCATGTTTTAGTCTGGTCTTCCCGAGCCTTTTCCCACCCTGAACATACTTCTTCAGCCAACATTATGTGACGAGGTAGACGGTGATTATGCATACGTAACACATGTCTTAGCCAGCTATCTCAGTCAACGAAGGTTGACAACCGCATCAATTAACCTTCCTCTCCTCCTTATAACTCTACGTCTGATTTCTGTGTTACTGGTGTAGTGACGTCACGATATACCACCTATGCTACAGAGACAGCGGTGGACAAATACCTGCAGCCTTCTCATGTCTTCTGCCTTGACTGTCCATGTTTCAAAGCCATTCAGTAGAACAGAGTGGACTCCAGCACAGTGGACTCGGCCCTTAATAGACAAGTGGATGTCGCGGCGGTGACGCAGATGGCATAATTTGGCCGAAGCCAAGTGAGCCATTTGTAAGCGTGCAGAGATTTCGTCGGCAACTGACCAACGCACTGGGGCTGATTCAACTTTCCAGGTAAGTGAAGTGTTCAACGCATTCAATCACTTCACTGTGTATTCTTAGTCGGGGTACCGTTGAAGACCAGTCCTGGATGACAAGAAACACATCCCAAACATTCTCATATTGCCACTGAATGTGTCAAGTAGACTCTGCATATTGCCAGCGTCTTCACCTAACAAGAATATATCATCTGCGTATTCTAGGTTTACCAAGATTCTTCTGTGGCTAGGTTAATCCCTGTGTAGTCAGACTGTGAGTGGGATACCTTCATATGAACGTCTGTGATAAAACTGGATAAGAGTGTAGAGAGTAGGCATCCTTGACGGACACCATTCGATGTACACAACTCACACTATATCTCACTATAGACTTTAACGCACCCATAAGTGTTCGAGTAAAGAGCCTTCAATAGGGTGATGCACTTACTCGGCACCCCTTTCAATGAGAGACACTACCATAAGACTTCTCTAACGACGGAGTTGAATGCTGTCTTCAGGTAGATAAACACAGCTATTGTTGGGCGTCGGTAAGCGTCCCTGTGTTCTAGAACCTTGAGAAGTGTCAATATTTGATCGATACACCCACGGCAAGACCTGAATCCTGCCTGGTTTCCTCAGGCTTGCTGTTCCTGGGCTCCACTCAGACATCTAATGATTATAAAACCTAGAATCTTAGACATTGTGTTCCTCAGGTTGATTCCTCTTTGGTTATCATAAGAGGACTTCTCACCTTTCTTGAAGACTGGGATAACCAGCGATTGAGAGTAGTCGTAGGGGATCATATTTGACTTCCTTATGCTTGCTAGTACTTCAGTTAAGTTGACTGAAATCACTCTACTACCGTCCTTATACAACTCAGGAACTAGTCTGTGTGGACCTGCTACCCTTCCTCGTTCTAAGCTACCTACTGCTTTCTCTACTTCTGCAAATGTTGAAGGGGCCTATCTCGATATTCTATCGAGCATCCAACTGAGTAGTGGGATACACGGTAGTGGCTGTAGGCTAGCTGAATTGTTCCTAGAAGTGTTCCACCCACAATTTCAGTCGTCTCCCTCGTGAGTGAATAGCAGACCTATCCTTCTCCCTTGATAACTGGTCATCAGTTTTCTTTTTTCAAACTTAGAATCGCTTTAGTTGCCCAGTGTATACACGATGAAAGATATAAGTAGATTAGCTTTATGGATAATGTTAATTTTCAAAGCTGATATGATATAACCTACCATTCTCTTTATTATTACTGTGTATGTCCATGTATTCCAACTATCTAGTCCAACAACAATGATGTTGATTATTAATATATATTTTTTCTAAAAGGTCAAGATGCATTCGGTTGGGCGATGTACTTGAATTCCAAACGTTCATGGTTTCTTCACAAAGGTGAACACAGAGATCGTACTGATGGAGGTATACAAATAACAAGTCAGGAAACGAATGATAATGGTATCAGACAGTATACGGATTCAATTAGAACCATAATTGGTGTGAGACTTGACTGTGAGAAAGGTTGTTTAGCCTTCTACTTAAATGGCGAGCCTCATGGTCCAATAGCATTCGCAGATTTAAAGACAAGACAGGATAGCAAATCAAGTCAAGCGAGAGACAGTACAAAGAGAATTAACTTATTCTATCCTGCAGTAAGTTTAAATTACTACACTCGTGTACGACTGGTTTCTGGTCTGGAAGTGCCAAGTGAAAGTGAAGAATCAGGTGACTCCTCCGAAGCAGAGTATGACCTATCCTCACCAACTCAATCTCATTGCAATTCTACAAGTTCTAAATGTTCTTCAAATGAGTTTACGGAAAGTAATAATAATACTAATAATAATGAATCTGAAAACAGACACTCTATAGTTTCTCCAATGCCTACCTGTTTAGTTCGCTCAACTACTGTACCATGTATACGAAAACCTTCCAGTCCAAATACACTGCTAAAATCTACAAAGCAATCTACTGCATTACCTAAATTGACCACATTCGGTCGCAATTTATAAATACCAAATTTTGTTCAAAATCTTGTTCCAGAAGTTAATGAACCTTCTTTTGAGTTAACTTTTGTTTTTCCGTTCAAATTGTTTGTAGTTTACAACAGGTGATACCAACGTTTTATTCATGTATATTACTACAAATTATCGGTGAGTGCAACTGTCCTTTTCTTTACATTTCACCTCGTAGTGCTCCATTGACCAAAACTTCAACTTGTTTTGTACATGCCCTTAACAGCCTACCTCTTCAATCAACTTCCTTTGCATAACGAACAAATATGATGTAATTAGATATCTATCCCATTTCAGTTCATTTTCTATCCCAATAACCGTTTTCCACTTTCATATGAAATTATTTCACTAAAAAAAGTCACTATCATTCTGTTTATTGTTGAAGATTATAATGTTAAAAGTCGATATTATCCTCATGGTGTAAATTTGTTATCTATAACAATTATGGAATGAGAGTTCCTTGTGCGCAGTGCTTAATCTTTCATGTTGCATTTTTGTTTATTTCAAGTTTTGATGATTCAGATTTAATTTCAACACTTTTGTACAGGATTCTTTTTCTCAAATGAATTTTGACTGATGACAATAGTGTTTATTTAATCAATTTACTTTAACTACTTATGAGTAGTTAAAGACCTGGATTCTAGTTAGAGTGAAAATACAGCTGCCTTCTTTAAGTATGAATCTACACCTGATTACACTCATCATTAGAATTTAAAGTCACAAAAATGCATCCAAGAAACCACTCAATACTTTGGTTTTACTCCTGCATAATAAGAGAAGTGAAAAAAGTACATCATGATCACCACTGCTTTCTATTCCGAGCTAAATCTGCTATCGTCTCAAGCTATTGGGTTAATTGCTCTCTCAGACCATACCTAGGGAGCTGTGAGGTGTCTGAAGATGCCAGCCCGACCCAACTACACTTCATCTCACTGTGCTATGTAATATAATGATTACCTCTCTTCTTCTTCTAATCAAAGCCTCAGGGTAAACGAGTAATGAACAGTATAGGGGCTACTGGGACACCGTGCTAAACATATACCCAAGCCACCTAAGTTAATTTTTCAAGATAAATTCACTCAGTGGGTGACAATCCCCAATTCACCAAGACATACCTCTTCAACTCAGAATTACTTACACAGTTTTTCCGCCTGGTACGAACTATCCTACGGAGACAACGGTGATCGAGTAGTCAGACATCCTCAACTTGCTGGACCGAGCCTTCTTAGGCACAAAATGGAACTACATACACTGACGTTTTGTATACTGGACCTCCTCCAGCAAGGTTATCGTTACGATGGCACTAAAGGTGGCCCACACTATAGGATACTGCTTGTCTTTCGATATATGACTGGAAATCTCATGACTCACACCTTCCCTAGCACCCATACAACTACTCAGGTGCACAAACTTTTAGACTATTTCTAGACGTTCACTACCAATGGCTGTTACAGTTAACGGCTCCTACTAATCTCCTAGAAGTATTTTTCCCCTTGATGGTGCTAAATGCATATCATACCTACGGACACTAATCGCCAACTGATTGCCTGAGATTTTATTGTCATCGCCCATTAAAATGATGTCATCCACATACTCCAGCTCAAAAAGTCTTTCATCCTCACGGGTCAGGTTTCCTCGCTTTTTGAGGAGTCTGAAAAGGATGATAGAAGTCAGTATTTTAGATGTTACAAGTAGCAGATTGATGATCATCACAAACTTCACATGGACCATTTTTAAAGATTGGTACAGTAATGGCTTCATTCCAGAGTAATGGAACACTCTCAGTCTGTTATATGTTTCTAAACAATTTAGTCAAGGAACTGACTACAGCCTAACCCCCACACTTAGAAAGGGCCTGGGTAGGCTGTCTGAGCTGAGTGCCCTATGGTGCTTCAAAACTTGGAGTTCCTTACCTTGCTCTGCTTCGTTAGGTAGATTGGTAGAGCAAGCCAGTAGAACCGCTTTCAAAAGCACTCTGCCCAACATTTCAGACGTCTAAAAAACTCGAAAATCGGAGTAACATCTACTTCACAGATAGTGTCACTGATACCGGGCTTATTGCTGCAGAGAGCCTGAATGAACACTTTCCCACTTTTCCTAGATGCAGCTGCTGCTCTCATCTGACTCAAGCTTTCTAATTAATAGTCCTTAGGTAAATGCTGCTTGTCCTATCACTTAAGGGACTTACGCACGCCATAGTACTTGCTGGCTTCCGGAATGAACCAAAGAGGGTCAATAAGTTGCAAAGAGCACATCGAGACCCAGTATTGATAAGTAGCAAATTCCTCAATGCCACAAACAGCTTTACCGCTTTCATGGCAGCTTATAGGTGTAACCAACGCTCAGATATACTTTCTGGATGCCTGACAACTAGTCCTGAATATAGCTTAGTTTGGTATTCGGTTGGAATACGAGGCCTAGTCACATTCCCTACATCAACCCATTTAACACGATGTTGGTGACCGCCAAAAAGAAACATGAACTTAGCACATATGAAGTGTGATCATGTTCCCATACCCAAAAAGTAGCGGTTATCGTAAATACACATACGTCATCGACAGGAGATTGAAATATGATCTTTCAATATAGATTTGAGTGGCAGACAAAGAACTACAAGCTGCTCAACGGTGGTCAATGTTCTTGAGGTTGGTGCCGGTTAGAAATAAGTTGTGGTCTGCACAAAGCTCCAAAATTCGTTCCACATTATTTAACCTATGACAGACAAAACACCAAGGGTCATATAAACGACCGTCCTCTGAAAATAAACACCCAACCTGAGCAATAATTCACCTGTACAGCATCATGAAACCCACAGAACACAAATGGTATAGATCAGAAAAGTTACGTCAGAATTCATCCATAGCTGCATTCAGCTCACGGTCAGTTGGGGAAAATATCATGCAGCAAAATCATAAATATTGACACTTAAGTCTCAATCCTGATTCAAAATTACAGAATAACAGCAAACAAAAGACCATTCATGAGCATTCAGTTCACCGATACAGTTATGCAACCGGCACTCAGTGCCAAACTTTTACCAGAAACACAGATTTCTCATCTCAAACTGCACCAGGATGGATGAGATGTGAATATGGTTTATGAGCCGACAGATGGGGAAGTTATTCAAAACACTTCCGTGAGATCTGCTACACAGATCTCTCAGATACAGCATTCAGTGATAACTAGGCTTTTTGCCCTCCTAGTTAAACTTATATGCTGTCTGTTCTCCATCAAGTTCCGAATGTTTAAGGCAGCCAGCTTAAATGAAGAGCACGCTGTCAAAAAAGTTGTATTCGGTATCATAAGAGGGGACAACTTTGCATAGGCAACCACTTCGAGACTCAAGACGATGCAAGCAGACCAAACTTTCAGTTACTGACGAGCAGCTAAGTATAAACGAAGATGTATGCAAAGACAAATTTTGAAACGATAACGAAGAGACAGCATAGTTCAGATATGAAAAATAATGACGATAATAAACTGAGAAATTGAGTAAGATGTTCGTCGCAGGAAGATATGGTAAGTGACTTAAATTCTTCATTGTTATTTATGGCTGATAATTTTTATGTGGCCTGTAAGACTCCCAAAACGTCTAGACCGAAGGGGAGACCTTAAAGGCCGTCACAGCAACTGCTGAGATAACCAATTGGGAGTCTCTATCCTATGAAAAACTACCTATCTAGCCGGAATACCGAAACCTGATTATTTTAGCAGTTGTTAGGGTGGTCTTCAAAGTCACCCGACCGAAGCAGGTCTGACCCACAGAGCAGAGTAGTGACGTAAGGTGCTGCATTTTAATGGTTGCCGCTGACCAAGGCAGGTTCAAACCCCAGCCAGCCGTTCTACAACGTGGATCCCGTATGCACAACTGGTTTGGAACCAGGGTTTCCCAACTCCCTCAGATAAACCCCCCGTCTGCACCAATCCGTTGATAGCGCTGGACGTTCGCTTTTGCACTCTCACTTTTGTAGAAACACCTCTGGCTAAGTGAAGGCAGTAAGTAGGACTTCCCTAGAAGATGCTATGAATCCCCGGCAGCATGACAGCACTTCGAGAGGGTGACTGAAATCTTCATCTCCTTACGCATACCATGACATTCTAGAAGCCACATAATATTGAATGAGTTAGGAAGCTCCATCAGTCAATACGATTCACGATAATTTTGAAGCGAATCTAAACTGCACGTAGTAACGAATAAACTGGCAGTTCATTATTTCTTACCCTACAAAATAATAAGCTCATAATAACACTTCGCTAACATCAGCATTCCATAAATTAAGCACTACTAAGATTCGATTCATGACTTCAAATGACTCAGTGGGAATTTGAAAGCTGTCCATAGAAGCAACATTGTATTCATCCAAACATAACTATGAAAAACAACTACGTCATATCGATATACAACTAGATGTTAAGTAAACCGAATATTAGAACTAAGATGGGGATTAATGTACATGTGAGCAGTATAAAGTAATTATTTCGAAAACTTCCCAATAGCTCTTTTGTGGTAAATTTTACTTGCACTTAAGAAATCACTCTAGACTGCTTACCAACAGAATAAAGACTGATTGGACGAAGAAATATATTCCTTTTCAATTAGGTCTTCGTCATGGGCTCTACAATAATACATTGGCTTCCAACTCAATCAAAGTACCAACAAGTGGTGGTGGATGTGGGTGTTGGTGAACAATAGTCATAGATTTTATGTAAGTCATGAAGATGATAAGTTTTAGAAATTAAGATGCCAATAATCAATAAAGTAATTAAAATTGGTAATATGAAGCAAGCTATTAATATGTAAGTGACTTAGTAACTGGTAGAGTAAATGGAGTGATTTTTGACGAGTGTTCAGTCATAAATAATAAACAACTGCGTAATAATCAGAAAATAAATGAATATTGATAGAGACAAGTGGATGAGGAGGCGTACAAAGCAATACTGGAAGTGACATCATGTTGACGAGTGAAGTCGTCATGAAAGATGTGACGTAACATTGCAGTCGATGTCGTCTTTATAATGCTGGAGTTGAGGTTGTATATTTCCGCATGGTCAAAGGGTTGGTCTGTGTATTTGGACAACTTCAAAAGCTTGTACGTGAATCTTCTTCCAAACCTAGATGTAGGTAAAGGTAGAAACCAATGCGCTTTCTCAGGCAGTTTTTAGGTGCTCAGTAAAAGTTCTCCGAGGATCTGTTAGCATTTCTGGCACCAGTCGGTGTACAATTCGTAAAATTCTTTACCGATTGTCAAATGATGTCTTCTGTTAGACATCTTTCAGTAGCTGTACGAAAAACGTCGTCGCTCTTCAAGCGTTTCATTGGGTGCACCTGCTAAAGTTTGCTTAGGTTACACAACTACAATGCACGTTCGCGGTTGTCCTCGATTTGCACCTGCACTCCATCAACTATAATGTTATCAAGCGTGCACTCAGCTATGTTCTCTTCCGGAACAGCTTAAATGGAAGTTATCAAAGGCTATGTGAAAGCATACTGCGATCGGTATTCATTTCTGACTGCAGTTTTCAAATCTAATTAGACATGCTTGTATTGTGTTCTCTGAGCTGCGTTGTTTAATCGTGTTGTTA